TGGGTTTCGCTACCTTCGCCCAAGTTTTTTTGATAGAAATAATGATCAGAAATACCATATCTCCAATGCACGATAGCGCTTTACCGTGAAAATACAATAGGATGTCAAATCATTGATCTACTAGAATGTTCTCTAGTGCTATCTTAGGTAATGGTTACGATTACCGCATCCATTCATGCTAGCGTCTCACTGTGGATTTATGATCTAGCTCACTGTTGTACGCTTAGCGTATCTCCACATATGGAACACGCAGGTATGTGATGCTCGTAGTCAGAAGAATAATATTTCGCCATTCATACAATGATAAATGCCAACTCTCTTAAATAGTCTTTGCAGAATAACATATAAATTCTCTAAAATAACATATAAAGATCAATCCATGAGTTTATTTAAGGCTCCCTTAGTTTCGGAAAAGTACCATCTGCAATTTTTCTCGATCTGATTATCGAAATTCTTTTCACATTCTTCTAATATCGTATGAAACAGATGGCTGATTCTATGCTGCCTAGTACTAAGAATCAAACTAAACATTTTCATCGCTTGCTCGCAATTTCGTGCAATTACAGATAAATCTTTGCACAAGAAGGCATTTTTGGATGTGACAGCAAAACTGAGTGTGACCAATGAGCACAAAAAGCAACAAAGCAGTAATTGAATGATTAGAAGAGAATTATGACTGACTATGAACATTAAGATTCTAAACTGAGACGAAAAAAAAACGGAAAAACGTAATAAAGGAGAAGACACACAAAGGAAATGAAAAATGCTAACCTCACAGTATGCCATCGTGAGAGCAAGGCAGCAGTCGATAGGAGTGCAGAAGGTTTGCTACAAATAACTGACTTTATCACAATTATTAGCTTCAACCTCTGTTGATACCAGCCTTCAGTTCAAGGTTACTCACCATAATTAAATCCTTTGGTGTTTTAGTTCCATCATCTTTACCGCTAAGGAACTTCTTTATCATGTAGTATGTCCCTTTATCAAACTGAAGCGCATCACATAACACCTCAAACTTGACGTTTCGACAGTTGTTATCTCAAAAAAGTCCATTTAGAAAGTAATAAAGGTAGAATGAATAATTACCTTCCATAACCGCACAAAGAATTGCAAGAATCAATTGCTCTAATGTCATTTCGAATTCTTTGGCGAATTCAACATCACCGCGTTCTTCAAACCTATCAGCGACCGTTTTCATAACGTGTGGATCGAAGCATGGCTTGTTCATACGCTGCATGAAGAATTAGAACAAACGAAGAAAGAAAAACCGGTTAAAGACCTACCCTATTGAGGTAATCTGTGGGAATTACAACTTCATAGTCCGTCAGATCGTCACTGCTCAAGTATGTAAACCAACTAAAAAGACAGATGTAAATGCGAACATATGAACTGTTTTTTGGCCGCTAAAAAACCAGGAAGTTCTGGATTCTTTTCCTCTAGCTAAAGACTAACTTCATGATGCTAAACAAAAACATCAAATTTGATATAAAGCAGGTACACAGCAACTATGCTTCTATTTCTGAAAAGTATCGAAACAATGAGAAGTTTCAATAATACTTTTTTTTGTCCATACATTAGTGATCAAATTATTGGTCTACAAAAAGTGACTCTTAGAGGGTTTATTGCTTCCGCACATACGCCCCACCTGAAGATCTGAACATACAAGCTGAACTTACTCCAACAACTCTTCACATCGTTTCTTTATGGTAGCAATCTCCTCCTCTGAAAGGACGTCCCATTGCGCGTGTGGATCATTTATTGCATTAATCATATTCTCAGCTACAAGTTGACCTAGCTCAGCCTGCAATTTGGTTCGTAACAAATTATTGCAGATCACATCAGAAGGATAATTTTGTGTATAAGGTTCCAAAACAGCAGCAAAGTAAAAAAAAACAAACATTGAGAGCCGCTAACCAAGTACTACAATAATGACAAAGAACTTTGCCATAAAACAGACAAGTTGAATTTCATGTAGGATCCCTCACTATAGGTGTTTCTCGAAAAGGCGCTACTTCCAGCAGGTTTGGCGAAGAGTTACGACAGACGTTTATTTGGTTAGAAGCTGAGGCAAATACGAAAACGTGCACTTAAACAAGCCTTTTGTACGGATACAACAGAAAAGCATATTATGTGCTACTCCTT